AGGCTAAAGCGTTGACCTTGCCATAGGTCTATCTGCCAAATTTGAAGATAAAATACGAGTCCATCTTTGAGGATGTGGAATTAGCTCTTTACGAAGTGGCGAATACGCTATCCCTCATTCTAATGAACGATTTTAATGCGTATGTCGGAACAGACAATGAAAAGAAAAAATGCGAGATCGGAAAGAACGACCCTAGTGACTTCAGCAATAGCGGCATGAAGTTGTTGCGGTTTTGTGGAAACAATGGACTGTCTGTTTTGAACACCTTCCTCGGGCATCGAAGCATGCATCAGTATACACGGTATAGGGAAGACTGTGCACAGAAGACGATTATCGATTAGATAATCGTATCTTCCTAATTCTGGCGATCGGAAACGGATAATCGCGGTAAGGGGGGTAGATCTGTCAGCAGATCATTTTCTGTAAATAGGCACCTTCCATTATGAGCGATGGATTACTGCTATGCTTCAACCTGGCAGCATAAGTTATTAGGGAATCAAATGCATTATCTTCTGCGGATGCATCGCTCAACGGATTGAATAAATCCCAGTGATGATCGCGGATGTGGAAACCGAGTGGAAGCTCATTAAGAGCGGCTTACTGGGCTTTGCCGCAGATTGCTGCAGTTTAAAAGTAGTTGGTGGGCCTAGCAAGTAGTAGTTACTCCACTTTCCTTCTTGAAGGCATTCGCAACACGTGACCAAACCATCGCAGCTGTGACTTTTCAATCTGGTGAAGCAGAGGCTGTATACCAAGGGTCTCCAGGATGTCAGTATTCTGGACCATGTCAAGACGCATAAGGCCAGCGACTCGTCTAAGAAAGCCCATTTGGTACCCGGGTTCGAAGTTTTTCAGTGATGATCCACGACTCATGCTGTTTATTAGTCGTCAAAAATTATTCAGTTGGTGAGTTCCGTTGAATGACAGACCATTTTATAACTTTTCGTAAGTCGACTTAACGTTTCGTAAGCGAAGCGATTTGTCTTAGAAAGTCCATTTTAGCCGCTCATAGCCGGGAGTGAGGTTTCTCAGTCATGGCCCACTGCTCATGACCGTAGGTAGGCATGGGAATGAAGTTCGATTTGAACGCCGAAAGCTGAGTTTTAAGACTGAGCTTTGCTTTAGTCACATTGGTTTGGACTGGTTCACGCAGAACGCCACTGGCTGCCCTGTTCCACTGGTCGATCTCCTCAAATTTTCCATCACCACTAAACACGACCCTGAGATATTTGAACTTCGCCATCTGCTCCACTGCTTCTCCGTTACACCCATCACTATGGCTGTGCGATATTCTGTCCATGAGCAACACAAACAGGAGAGGGGACAAAACGCAGCATTGGCACAGGCTAGTGCCAACGCTTAAGGTATCGACTTAACGTCATTTATTCTAACGCCACACATGCTAACAGTATTTAATGATAGGACGGCAGTAGCAGCTGGCCATCGATTCCATGTTTGCAGACATTCCATTGACATTGCCCACAGATTGTTGCACGGGGTCCGGTCCGGTCATAGGTTTTCTCCAGGTCAGACACATGTAAATCAAATGAACGAACTCCCACGATTACTTTAAGTATGACGTGAGGCAAATATCTCGTCAACCTGAAGGCACATCGCTCTTGTATCTGAGAATCAGTTATTCAGTCCTAACACGTTGTTTCGCCATTCCATATTCTCCAAGTTTCTTCAACTCATCCTGCGTTCAATCCGGAGGCCTTCCCGCGAGTCGAATTTTTAATTATTAGAGTTTTGTATAATTCTATTAAAATACAAACTCCCGAGAGACTCTTTTTTACCGTTTATTAAGCTTCGCGAAAAAAATTTTTTTTCAAAAACAGGCCCATCAGCTCGATAGCAAAAAGAAATTTTTCACTGTTTGGATATAGATCATCATTACATTTCAATGCTGGGCATCATTCTTGGCTCTTTTTGTTTCATAAAGCTTGATATGACACTGATCGTTTTTGTGATATTCATAAGACCCACTTAATGGTAGTCGTTTATTTACATCAGAAGAAAGTAAAGTGAGCAATCCTATCAGAGCTTAAACTTTTGATCTTTCAGCTGTGAGTCCAACGGTCTGTCGACTGTGCAACTCAGTTATGAAGAGTAAAATGTAACATTTTTTGTACATTTTGTCTACCTCCTGACTTACTTGACCTTTAACTCAGCTGCAATATCAGTTACATTGCGCATTTCGTTACAGAGAGGTTTATCAGCGGTTCCTTTCCGAAAGGCTTAAAAACCCTTCTACGCAATTACAAAGTGCATTACGTACGTGCTAGGTAAGCGACTTGTTATCCATGGCTTCGGTTCAGCTGTACCGTGTTTTCTGGTCTGATGATCTATTTCGTTTTGATTTCCTTTCGGAGGATCCACATTTATCAAAATCGAAGGCTGAATTCTTCACTGTTAATCCACATTCTCATCAATCAGTTTTGAGGATTAAACTGTGAGAAACGCTAACTCCCGCATCGCAGATTGACAGAGGGAACTTATGGAAGTAAGCTTCGATACGTATTTTTTGCAGGCAACTTTTTAATGAGTGAAGCGAGATAGATTCACTTGTTGCTGAATTCTTCTTGCTCGTTGGTGTACACTGTCATTGCTTTCCCAACATCAGTTCATTATCCAGATACTCATCTTCATCTCCGCTAATACTGTTACGACGGAGCTGGAATAAGATGTTGGAGCGATAACGAACAGATATTTAAACACTTATAATTTTCATAAGAGCTTCGTTAGTCGGCTCTGCATGGCGTGTAACTGGCTTCTGTGACTGCCGTAACAGCTGAAAACATTTGTCTGCATCATCATTCTATCGTCTCATGTCACGCGGATATGTATAATCGTATTAACCCATATTACATGGCATGTCTGATCTGTACTTAATGACTAGGGAAAAGAAAAAGGAAAGTTTTACCCGTTGGAGTGTCGGTCTTCTATGTATTTTCATGATAGGGCTGTTTCCTTCTTTTAACGAGCTTAATGGTGGGATGCCCATCTCCATTTCCACGCCATCAGTCAGGAGTGTCTTATATTAGAGACAAAATCGACAGGGCTATGTGTAAAGAATGGCACGTAATCTCATATTTCCTTGTTACACAAAGGCACTCATGTATCTACCTCAGAAGGGGGGAAAGCAAGTGACCGGACCGGAACTCGAATCCGTGACCTCTTGGATCTGGGTTTGACACTACCGACTGATTAACTCAGGTATGACTATGAATAGATGTGGTTCATGAGAAACCGAAACCTGCTGATGTATCCTCGCTATATTGTTGCAGTGGTTCATCGGTAGATGAACCGTACTAGCACCTGCGGTACAACTCATCTAATATGGCCAGCAGTTCATTAAATGATACGTCAAACAAGCATGCCTATTGCTGGCAGTGACCATCGTTTATTGAATAATGGAACTCTGCCGTTATGCCTGTTCAGTTTACTTAGAACTGGAAGGACTACAGATTCCGGAGGGATAAACTTAAAGCAGTGGCGGAAAGAACGAAAAGACAAATC